TAATTTTTCTCATCGTAGTCTGGTTTCTCATGTAGTTCTATCGGCTGCAAGATAATATATTATTTGAGCTGATTTGTCTAACAGTTGTGTTTCCATGTAAATTAATTAATTAATTGCCATTCTGGTTTACACGTTACTCCTGTGATCTTGGTAAGAAGTTTCTCTCCTTATGGACAGTTTCTCTTCTCAAGGTGTTAACAATTTGGAGTTCTTAGCCTGCAAATCATATCTGAATATCCATGAATTCACCTGTGGGGGCACCTTACCAGAAGGCCAAAGAGCTGTACCTCAGTGACATCCTTACCTCACCTTAGAACTTCTATTTGACCTTTGATATATAGTAGATGTGAGTAAGAATTAAACAGAAATTACAAATGTGTCCCAAACAGTCAGAGTCCATATATCATCCAGAATGGGCCTCAGAGTTCCAAAAATTTTCCTCTGAATGTCTTCTTCTTGCTTTTTCCACTGTTTGTCCTTTTGTAGGTATAACTCCCCAGAGGGCTGGAAACTGTGTCTGTCTCACATATTGCTGTATCCTGGGTGCTGAGCCTGGTGATTACACATCAATAGTAGCTCAGTAGATATTAGTAGAATAAATGAATGAATGAAGGAAGGAAGGAATCCCTGACATTTTCCATTCTGCCTTTTCTTCTACTTCCCCTCTACCTGGGCAGAAGTAATTTTAAAATCCCAGTTTTCCTATATTGTAGATGTAAATTTCTTCCACATATTTGTGATATGTCTCACTACTGATGGGTCTTGAAATGCCCAACAATTCAGTTATTTCCATTGTGCTACTGGGACTTGTACTGCAGGAGCAAAGCAATGGCTGCTTTGATTATTCCACACCCTTAACGGAACCCTCTGTTTTCTTCTAGAAATTTAGTCAGGTGGTTGAATTACTTGGCTTCCTTGAAGACTTCTTTGTTGTCAGGTTTTCCTTTTGAAAGGAAAAGCTTCATTAAAATTAGATGAAGAGCACACAGCTTTCTGTTACTAAACTGTCAGCCCTGGCAAAAGCAGTGGTGAAGGCAAACCAAAGCTTTCGAGAGGGCATGTTCTTGCTGGCTGAACTAATGAAGAAGTGCAGACCCCCTGCTGAAGTCTCAAGTAGACTGCCAGTTCACACAAATGAGCTGACAAATACCATTCAGTTTTAATTGTGACATTTCTTTTGCAAGGCAGTTCCTTTCCCTGGGTGTTTGGTTTTTTTTTCTTGTTTTTGTTGTTGATTTTTAACAAAAATTCTTGAGAAATAAAAAATGAAACCAACAGGAATGTTCTTTAAAGAGTCCAGCAAATGGTTTTGAGAATGCACTGACACTTGAAACATGGGAGAAATCATTATTTTAAAATGCCCAATCCACTTTCCTCAGTTTTGAACAAAATTAACGACAAAGCAAAACCAGTTTTCAAGTGCTATAGTAATTTGCAAAATAAATTGCAAAGAATAGCAGAGCGCCATCAAGGTTCTTCAAGGGCTCTACAAACATTCAATTTGAATTTAAGTTTTTACATAGATTTTAAACTTCTTAAAGATGGTAATCTTTAAATGTAATATATTTAAAATATAAACTCATCAGAGGACTTCAATCAATGTATTTACTTGGACTGATGGGTTCATATTTTTCCAAGTAGGAGTAAGTTATAATGCTTCTCCTGACCATTCAATATCCTGAGACTCCAAGGCAAGTGCTGAAATGACCCTAACACTTATAAGCACTTGTCTGTCTTGAATGAGGATTTTCTTTATGCCATATTGCTAAAAGAAAACATCGACTAATTGTAAGCTAAAACTGCAAGAAGTCTTTCACTGCCATTTATGAGCCTGGATTTATATTTTTGTATGAAAGAAAAAGGAATTGTGTTTTCATTAATTGCTTTATAAGCAAAATGCCATACATTTGAACCAATAAAATGAATTTATTCTAATAAGATGCCTCTTTGTTTTAAATATCTGATAAGAAGTTGTTTTTAAAAAGAATTCTATAGTTAAAAGTTATTTTAAAGATCACTTAATTATATTATCGCTATGTTATGTCTAAAACCATGAAATGACTTAGTGATTTTGTAGTGAAGCTAGTGTTTGGCAGTTGTTACAGGCTACCCTTTGGCTAGAATATTTTTAGTTTGTATTTCAGTTATATATTGCTGTGTACCTCAAAGCTCAGTGGCTTAAAACAAGTGCCATTTAGGTACGATTCTGTGGGTTGACTGGGTGTCCTTTCTGCTGGTTTTACCTGGGCTCACTCGTATAGCTATATCTGGCTGGTAGAACTTCTGCAACCTATGCCCAGCTGCACTCTTCTTTCTACAGTTGCTTTTCATCCCAGGTTTTTTATGGCATTGCAGTTTCGAAGTGTTCAAGAGAACAAGCCCCAATGTACAAGACCTTCTGAAGCTTCTATTTGTGTTACATTTGCTGGTGTTCCATTGGCCGAAACAATTCACATGGCCAAGTCCAATGTCGACCCTGAAGGGGAATACATAAAGGCATGAATATGAAAAGGTATGTGATTCACTGGGTGCCATTACTGTAATAATTTACCATAGTTTCCAATCAATAGAATTATAAAAGATTCTCCTAAACTTTACAGAATTTGAAAACAGGGCCCACAGACTATAATACAAGTGGGAGTGTATTATAATAACAGCCTTAATGAATAACATTCTCTATATACACGCTTATTTGCAATATAATACTGCCATTCTTCCTGTTTTGGTTGGGCTGCTATAACAAAACATCGTAATATCATTATAAACAATGAAAATGTTTTTCTCACAGTTCTGGAGACTGGGAAGTCCAAGACCAAGGTGCCAGCAGATTCAGTGTTCGACAAAGTCCTACTTCCTGGTTCATAGATGGTAACTTTAGGGTATGTCCTCATATTTTGGGAGGGGTGAATTCACTCTCTGGAGTCTCTTTTATAAGGCACTAATCTCAATGAGGGCACGATCTTCAAGAATTAATAATCCTCTCAAGTCTCTACAATCTAATGCCATTACCTTGGGGGTTAATATTTCAACATATCTGTTTGATGAGACACAAACACTAAGACCAGAGCACTTCCCATTGAGTGGTAGATATTATTTCTCCACCTTGAATCTTAGTTAGCATTCTAACTTGCTTTAACCAGTAGAATGTGGCTGACGTGGTGTTTTGGGAGCTCTTGAGTCTAAGCCTCAAGATGCCTTGAAGCCTCTGCCTTCACTTTCTTGGAACTTAAATGCCATATAAAGGTGGGCTAATCTACTGAATGATGAGGAACCATGTGAAGAGAGAGGTCCCAGACTTCCAGCCATTCGCATCAGGGCCTCAGACACATGGGCGATGTCAACACAGAGTCTCCAGCTCCAGCTGACCCACCAGATGAATACAACCACAAGAGCAAGCCTGTGTGAAACCATCAGCCATCCCAGAGATTTGTGAGAAATGATGTTGGGGTGTTTGTTACTTAGTGATAGATAACTGGTACAGGGGCTAAATATTAACTCTTATTCATTCCTTATATGAACCAAATGAAGCAAGCATTAATTTTCCTCTTTTACAAAAAAAAAACAAAAAGAAACTGAGGCCCAAAAAGTTTGAATCTCTTGTTGAAGTTCAGACAGCTAAATAACTGAGAGGATACACATTTGCTGACTTGCAAACTCACAGTCTTTCTGTAACACATTGAATTTGGAAGATTTAAAACCTGTCTTTTTCAATCTGAATAAAGATGAGCGATTTTAGTCTAAGTTTCACTTTATATCCCTTTGAGCAACATTACCGTGAAAGCGGATCCTTGGTGTTTTCTCCTTTGGTTGAATGCTTCTTTCTTTGACTGATTGTTTGCACTAAATTTTAGAAAATCCCACAGGCTTCAGAAATGGAAGGGTGAAGTTAAATCATCCCTAGGAAATAAGGGAGCAGTCAGAATTGTACGGTTAAGTTAGTCTTAACAATAAAAGAATTACTAAAGCTTTTCTTCAGAAAACCAGCAAGAAACATTTCAGTAACCATGTTATTCTGTTCTAGAATTTTTCTTCTGTGTTTTGATTTTGATGGGATAGCCTAAGTCTCTAAGTTATTTTTTGAGATTTAGATTTAATACAGAAGCAGGGATGTGTCACAGAAGTAGGTATAGTCCAATGACAGAAATAGGACTACTTCTATTTGTAAAATATTCATCGTTTTCCAATGATGACAGCCATCACAGCAATGCAAAGCATATTTTGGAGACTCCAAAAAAATGTGGAAGGCATAAATAAGGATGTGCATAAATAAGGATGACAGGGTCATCGAGACATTGGTGAGTCAAACTTGAGCAACCCAGGCTCTTACACTCAGTGACTCCAATTCACCAAACTCATTTTGCTCCTGAGGGCCATGCTCAGAGAATCAAATTCATATGCAGAGAAAGAGAAAATACTTCCTTTGTTATTGAATATTTTTCTATGGGCATATCGGCTGCACATTTTTTTTCTAACCACATAAGACACAGCTGAGATAAACACTTCTGAGTGTTTCTGAGAGAGAAAGTGAATTTAAGAAAGTTATGTAATTTTGAATGAGAGGAATTAATTTCTGTTTGTGGAGAAACTTGAATCAGAAAGTGGCTCTAGATACTAACAAGAGTCAAAGAAGAGGGAGCTCTGTTCACTGCCCCCAGGTCCCCTCCCTAAAGAAACATATTTACATAAACAAAGCAGGGTGGGGATGGGGTAATCCATGAGTCAATAGGATCATGTCCATCAGCCTCCAGCAAATGAAAATCTGTGAAAATGCTTTTTCCTTTCTCTTTCCAAATGTACTTAGTTAACTGACCATTTTAGAATGTGATACAACTCAACAGGTGTTTAATGTGCTAAGAACAAAAGGGTCTTTAAACATGAAGGGTCAAGATAACTACTAGAGGCACCCAGCACTAGCTGCCTCCACAAAGGACTGAAACAGCCAGTAGATAAACCACACACTGAATAGGGGCTTAGGGTGTCTAAGAGAGAACACTGAAACTTAGCAGGAAAGTGACAGGGAACCTCCCAGGCACAGAAGGAAAGGGAAACAATGCAGCTGACCTGACTGAGAACCATCCCACTAACCCGACCACTGCTGGCCTTTGCAGGACACCATGAACCATACAGTCCAAACCTTCTTCTCTCCTATCAACAGTGGCCAGCCACCCCACTATGAGACGCTCAAGGAGAAGCACGAGGTGGCTGTGCTGAGGGTGCCCCACAACACTGCTCCCCCAACGTCCACCGTGATCCACATCTGCAGCGAGACCTCCGTGCCTGATCATGTCGTCTGGTCCCTGTTCAACACCCTCTTCATGCTCTTCATGAACCCCTGCTGCCTGGGCTTCATAGCATTCTCCTACTCTGTGAAGTCTAGGGACAGGAAGATGGCTGGTGACTTGACTGGGGCCTAGGCCTATGCTTCCACCGCTAAGTGCCTGAACATCTGGGCCCTGATTTTGGGCATCCTCATGACCATTCTGCTCATCGTCATCCCAGTATTGATCTTGCAAGCCTATTGATAGATCAGGAGACATCATTCAGGCCAGGAGCTCTGCCCATAACCTGTATCCCACGTGCTCCACCTTCCATTCCTCGCCCTGCCCCCGGAGCTGAGTCCCGTATCAGCCCTTTATCCTCACACACTTTTCTACAATGGCATTCAATAAAGTGTATATGTTTCTGAAAAAAAAAAAAAAAAAAAAGAAGTAAATACCAGCCTGGCCGATATGATGGAAGCCTGTCTGTACTAAAAATACAAAAATTAGTTGGGCATGGTGGTGGGTACCTGTAGTCCCAGCTACTTGGGAGGCTGAGGCAGGAGAATCACTTGAACCTGGGAGGCGGTGGTTGCACAGCCAAGATCACATCACTGCACTCCAGCCTGGGTGACAGAACGAGACTCCATTAAAAAAAAAAAAAAAGAAGAAGTAAATAAAAAAATTTCTTGAAAAAAATAAAAATGAAAAATCACATACCAAAACCTATGAGATACAACAAAAGCAATGCTAAAAAGGAAATTTATAGCAGTAAGCACCCACATCAAAAAAAAAAGAGAAAGACTTCAAATAAACAACCAAATAATATACCTCAAAGAATTAGGAAGGCTATAATAAACCAAACCCAAAATTACTAGAAGGTAAAACATAATAAAGATCAAAGCAAAACTACACAAATTAGAGAATAAAGAAACAATATTAAAGATCGATGAGACAAAAAGTTGCTTTTAGAACACGTAAACAAAATTGAGAAAGCAGTGGTTATACTAAGAAAAAAGGAGAGAAGACCCATATAAATTAAAGGAAAAAGGAAACCTTAAAACTAATACTACAGATACGGATACTAATACTACAGATACTGATACTAATACAAAGGAACATAGAGATTACTACGAACAATTATCTGTTAATAAATTGGAAAATCTAGAGGAAATGTATAAATTCCTGGACACATTCAACTTACCAAGATTGAAACAGGAAGAAAGAAAATATGAACATACCAGTAATAAGTAGTGAGATGGAATCAGTAATAAAAAGTCTCTCAACAAGGAAAGTCCAGGACCAATGGTTTTACTGCTGAATTCTACGAACATATATAGAAGAATTAGTCCTAATTCTTCTCAAACTATTCCAAATAGTTGAAGTAGAGAAAAATTTTTTTCTAACTTATACTATGAGGTTAGCATTACTTTGATCCCAAAACCAGACAAGGACAGAACAAAAAACAAAGCCATTGGCCAATATCCCTGATGAACATATATGTCAAAATTCTTAACAAAATACTAGCAAGCCTAATCCAGCAATATATTAAAAAGAGAATGTGGCATAATTGAGTGGGATTTATCCCAGGAATGCAAGGATGGTTCAACATATGCAAATCAATAAGTGTGATACATCACATCAACAGAATGGAGGACAAAAACCATATGATCATCTCAAGAGATGCAAAAAAAAGCATTTGATAAAATTCAACATCCCTTAATAAAAACTCTCAACAAATTAGGCACAGAAAGAATGTACCTCAGCATAATAAAGGTCATGTGAATGGGGAAAAGCTGAAAGCCTTACTCTAAAAATTGGAACAAGACAAGGATACCCACTTTTACCACTACTATTCAACAAAGTACTGGAAGTCCTAGACAGAACAATCAATCAAGAGAAAGAAATAAGAGGCATCTAAATTAGAAAAGAGGAAGTCAAATTGTGATTTTATATATATAGAACATGATTTTATATATATAGGAACATGGTTTTATATATATAGAAAAGCCTAAAGGCTCCACCAAAAACCTCTTAGAATTGATAAATTCAGTAAAGTTGTGGGACCCAAAATCAACACACAAAAATTAGTTGCATTTCTACACATCAATAACAAACTAGCTGAAAAAGAAATCAAGAAAACAATCTCATTTATAACAGCTAAAGAATAATTAAATACTTTGTTAAATAAATAAATTTAAGCAAGGAGGTAAAAGACTTCTACAAGAAAAACTACAAAAAACTAATTAAAGAAATTGAAGAGGACACAAACAATTGGAAATACATCGCATGTTCATAGATCAGAAGAATTAGTATAATTAAATTTTAACATCTACAGATTCAATACAATTTCCATTAAAATACTAAAGACATTCTTCAGAGAAATAGAAATAACAATCCTGAAATTTGTGTAGAACCACAAAAGACCCTGAATAGCCAAAGCAGTAGTGAGCAAGAAAACAAAGCCAGAAGCATCAAAACACCTGACTTCAAAATATACTGCAAAACTAATAATGTCACCCCAGTAAGAATGGTTATTATCAGAAAGACAAAGAAAAACAAATGCTGGAGATAATGTGGAGGAACGGGAATTTTTATGCACTTTTGGTGGAAATGTAAATTAGTATGGTCATTATTAAAAATAGTATGAAGTTTTCTCAAAAAACTAAAAATAGAACTACTATATGATCCAGCAATTTATGGGATAAAATCCCATAAATACTGGGTATTTATCCAAAGGAAAGGAATCAGTATATCAAAGAGATACCTGCACCCCCATGTTCATTGCAGCACTATTCACAATAGTCAAGATATGGATTCAACCTAAATGCCCAGCAACAAAAGAATGCATAAAGAAAATGTGGTGATATACACAATGGAATACTATTCGGCCATATAAAAGAATGAAATCCTGTCATTTGTAGCAACATAGATGGAACTAGAGGACATTATGTTAAGTAAAATAAGCCATGCACAGAAAGAAAAACACTGTACATTCTAACACTGTGGGATTTAAGAAAGTTGATCTTATGGTTCTTTTGGATGTTCTGGAGATAAGAATGATAGTTACCAGAGACTAGGAAAGGTGGAGAATGATGTGAAAAGAGGTCAATTAATGGACACAAATATACAGCTAGATAGAAATGGCAAGTTCTACTGTTGATAGCACAGTAGGGTGAGTATAGTTAACAATAGTTTATTATATATTTCAAAATAGCTAGAAGATTTGAAATGTTCCCAACACAAAGAAATAACTGATATTTGAGTTTATGGATATCTTAAATATCCTGATTTGATCATCATGTGTTGTACACATGTACCAAAACATCACATGTACCACATAAGTATGTTCAAGTATTATGTACCAACAATAAAAGAGTTCTACTATTTCGCAATTAAACTCTCTTATTCAAAAAACATGGTCAAAAAAACATGTTATAATGTTATATTCCCTTCCCCCATGTGCCATGAAGTGCTAACAGTTCCTAATGAACTGTTAATAATTAATAAATTAACAAATAATTTTAGTTTACATTAGGATTCATTTTTGGTGCTGTACATCTATGGGTTTAGGCAAATGTATAAAGACATGCATCTTCCATTATAGTATAATGGATGATAATGATGTGTCAGTGTAGGTTCACCAATTGTAACAAAATTTAACGAAATTTTTAATTTTTAATATTATAAATTGCACTACAATAAACAACTTGCACATACGTCTTTGTGCATTTGTTAGATTAATTCATTAGGATACATTCTAAAAAGCAGGATGTCTAAGTCAAATAAAATATGCATTTTTGGAGGGATTTATGCGTATACCCAATTGTCCATCATGAAAGTGATATCAATTTACACTCCTTTAGTCACTTGTCCTTAGATTCTTTTAAATCTTGGCCAGTCTTATAGAATAAATAATTGTGTCTCATTTTTGTTTAAATTTGTACTGCTTAGATTATGGATGAGGCAGAATATAGTTTTGTGTATTTATCAGCCATTTGCTTTTGTGTGTGTGTATGTGATTTCCTCATTTAGTTATTTCACAATTTCAGGAGATAATTCAAACTACCTTTGGCTGTGTAATTCAATCTGAAATTTTCCCCAAAATGTTATGTTTTTACCTTATTTAAATCTGTTTTTTCTTGTCCGATTCTTAGGAAAAGACTAGGAATCTACTACTCACCAAAACAAATTATTTGGTATGCAAAACAGGCTTTTCCAACAGGTTTTGACCTCTCCTCTTGTTTTTTTATAATACAGTGCAAAGCAGCACTTTCAAAGTTTGACAGGACAATAATAATGCTTGTTGAAGTTTTGGATGGGGCAAAGGCTGTGGCAAAAGAGAGGAAAATCTGGTTGAAGAAATTGGGGGTAAATGGAGTTACAGGATTAATAGGCAAGCTGTTTCAAACTTGTTTTTTAATCACAGAATCTTTTTTAACCTCTTTGCATTTGTGATGGTCACATGTAAATGGCAACAAACAGTAAGAATAGACCTATGCCAACCTTTCATGCACGTTTGAAAAATCAGCTCAAAATGCATGCCCTGCAAATGGTGTGTCAAAAACATCATCATTTTGTGCAAAACATGAAATAATGATAATAATTATTATTACTTGTGTATTAGGATTCTCCAGAGAAACAGAACCAATAGCATATATATGAAATGCTATTATGAAATACTAATATATATAGTTACAGATATATATTATATAATACATGTGATAATATAATATGTAATAATATATATTATAGGACACAATATATATGTTATAGAAATAGGCAATTATAAGGCTGAGAAATCCCACAATCTGCCCTCTGCAAGCTGGAGAACCAGGAAGGCTGGTGGTATAATTAAGTTTGAGTCTGAAGGCTTAAGAACCAGAGTGTCGACATCTGAGGCAAGAAAAAATGGATGTTACAGCTCAAGAAGAGAGGAAATTCATCTACTGCCTTTCTGTTCTATTTGGACCCTTCTGGATCTAATGGATTGGATGATGCTCACTGACGTTGAGGAGGGCCATCTGCTTTACTCAGTTCACCAATTCAAACACTGATCTCTTCTAGAAACACCCTCACAGACACACCCAGAAATAATAAGCTATCTGGGTGTCCCTTAGCCCTGTCAAGTTAACACATAAAATTAACCATCACATTACTCAGAAATGTATCTCCGAAAGACTTATATTTACTGAGTTAAAAGAGCTTCCTTTGAGATGCCCACTTTCTCAATACACAAGCAGGACTACAAGCTGAAATGTTAAAGCTGGAAGAACCTTTGAAGCACCTTCCTCACCTCAGTTTCCTTATCTGTGTAATGACAGTTGTGTATAAATGAAATATTTTACCTTGGTTCATAAAATTCAGAGTAGGAGAAGCTCAGCAATTCCTAAATAGAAACTCCACAGGTACTGCCTTTGTAGCAATGCGCATGGTAGCTCCGGGTC